TAAAAGGTGGAACACAAAATTGAATAAAAATTCCAAGTTCAGGGTGAAAAAAAATTCATTTCACAGAGAGATAATATTATTTTTTGCTTAATAATATTTAGATAATTAAAAACATATTCTATGTTGTTTTTTATTGTGTACTATTACTATGTAAGGTTAACTCAATCATATATCAACATTTAAAGACTTAAGGTCACAGGAAATTTAAAAAATTGTAATTTAAAATTATAATCCTGTTTATATTTTAAGAAGAAATATTAATAAAAGACCTACAAGTCTAAAATATATAAAGGTAAAATTCAGTTTAAAAAGTAGACTTTAAGAAGATACAGGAAAAAAAAGAAAAAGTAACTGAAAAATTTTATTCTGTTGAAATAAGTAATTTAGTGTTTTCTAAATAGTTGGTAAGTTTTAAATTACCTTGCTATTTACATTCCATTGGAAACATTCAACAAGGTGATGTAATCTTTCATTTAAAAAGATCATATTCACCACATAACAAACATGTATTATTTGCAACTTTTTAAACTTAGGATAAAAATTTTGGATGGCAATTAGAAAAATATAGCAGAGGGTGTACTTTTCCAAAATTCTTTTAGATGTACCACAAGCAAAAAAATTTTGAAGAACACTGATCTAGGTTTGATAACTAAAAATAGAATTGCTAAATCATAAAATATGTTTATCTTCAGCTTTACAAAATAATGCCAGGCTGCATAGATACACATATTGGCATGTTGAAATAGGTTTTTTCCCTTTTATCTTCACCAAGATTGGAATTTTCAGAGTTTAACAACTCTTTTTTTGAATCAATATGGATCTGTATACATTGGTGTCTTGTACTTTTTTTCTCATTGTGCTTTTAAGTTGGATTTCCCTATTTACTAATTAGGTTAAGCATCTTTTCATGTTTATTATCACATAGGTTTCCCATTCAAGCTTTTGCAGATACTTTTTTTTTGAGTAGTTTTTGTTTTCCTAATTTCTTTGAAATAATTCTTAACATTCTGCCTACTACCTCTTTTCAGTTACATGTATAGTATCAAGATACTTTCAATTCATGACTTATATTTTTATTCTTTTTTAGTGTTATGTGATAGACAAAAAGTTTGAATGATTTTTTTGCATCTTAAGAAACCCTTTTCTACTTTAAAATCATAAAAAATATATTGTTACCTAAAAGTTTCCCTTTCACATTTAATTATTTAATCAACCTGGAATTGATTTTCATGCATGTCATGCATGCATTCAATTTCATTTTTGTTTCATGCAGATAATTATTATAGCTCCCCTTATTGGAATACAGCATCATTTATTTGCTCATTGATCTAAAGTGACAACTCTGTTATAAATCAACTTTGTAAATACATATGTGTAGGTCTGTGTCTGGGCTATTATTTTAGAGACTAACTCGTCACTTTATGTGTAGCAGAAATTCTGTTTTCAGTTCAAGCCTATTTCCTTCTGGGCATACTGTGCTACCACATTTCCCAGCTCCTGTTGCAATTGAATGAGGCCATATGACTGAGTTCTATAGGGGATGTAGACAGAAGTTATATACATGACTTCCACACCCGGCCCCAAGTTTCTCACAAGATCCTTCACAGTCTCTCTCATCTCGAGCTTGTGGCACACGTGGAGGACCCAGTAGAGCGCTGCGAGTCCATAATCAATGGCAGAGTCTAGGCAGGAGTCGGATTTTGAACTCCTCCCAGTGCATCTTCGTGTATCTCTCCCTCCTCATCTGCTACTAGTGTGCCTTGGACGTTTGTTTTTATTATCACTTGTTTAAACCCATACAGACAATTGAGACCCAAGTGCATGAAGGGAAGTGAGAAAGTAACCAGGTCAACTGCAAAAAACAGGTGTGAAGGTGCCAGGACTGAAACGCATGTCCTTCAAATAGTTAGGATTTTTATTCTAAGCATAGCTGTTCCAATGAATGGTGAATACTGTCAAGTTTCCTCATTCTTTTCTACCTGAAAAGAAATCACATGAAGAATTCCTTGAACTTAAGGGCAAATGTTTCTGATGTTTTTATAGTCCTTCAGTGATACGGATATCTATGCTGCCTAGAGCACTTGGAGGCAGCATCGTGAGCACAGCTTCTGAAACCAGCTTTTTTTTATACTTACTTGTCTGCAATTCATCTTAATTGTGGCACACAGAATCGTCTTTAGTTATAGCCTGCGGGATCTTTCAGATGGGACTTTCTCGAACTCTTACAAGCTGTGACACATGGGATCCAGCTCCCTGACCAGCCACTGCACCACCAGAGAAGTCCCCCCAAAGCAGCTTGGTTTTGTACCTTGGCTCTCTTGCATAACTTGGTGATGCTGGGCAAGTTACTTAACCTCTCTATGTCTGCTCATTTAGCCACAAAATGAAGATGATAATGATCTTATTCCATAGGGCTGATGTGAGGAGTAAATGAAATAGTTTATGTAAAGCACCTCGAACAGTTAGGCAGCCTAGATGTAGCAAGTCTTATTAAATGTGGGTTATGTAGTGTGAGAAATCCGAAGTAATGACATATATTTGAGGAGACAGAAAAGATAGGTGGACAAGATTAAAAATTCAAATTGATGAATAATTGTGGAATTAGAAAGATGTGTTGCTCTAATAGGATATTCTGGTAAAAATTAAAATACATACTGGTCTTACCATCTGATGTATTTGTATCCGGCTATTAGGAAAACTACAGAAAAAGCCTACACACAGTGAGGGTTTTTTGTGAAGACAGTTGCCAAAGGAGCTTAAATTATTAATGTCTTCCATGAAAAGTATTATTGTATTTTAAAAACTATGAAGTGAACGACTCTTTGATACATAAGCACATGCAATTTACAACTAGAATGTTATAATGAAGGGTACAAATAGCCTTTGTCAAAATGGAGATAAATAATTGTTCTAAAAGCTTCCCTCAAATGCTGCCAAATATATTTTAAGGTGATCATTGCATAACTCAGAAAAGACAAAGTGGACAAGAGAATTAAAAATATATGCTGCTTTATTGTCAAAATTGACAAACTTAATTTCCTTTAACAGGAATATTAATTTAAGGGTCTCTATAAAGCCATCACTATTTTGTGAGTATAAAAGCCAAGACAGTCAAAGACAACTGTTAGTGGGAAAAGGACAACAATTCTACATGCAGGCCAGATTCCTCACCCAGAGAATCACAATGACCTTCAGAGCCTTAGGCAATAATAGACATGCAATACCAACTCAACTGATCTTGGCCCAGTATGGTAAGATTGGCTTTGCGGTATCTTTCCAAGCACTTGAAGAGTTCCATTTGTTAGAACACTTGCTGATTCGAATAGTGACATTTTAGATCATTTATGGGATTAGAAACAGGATCACTCCTGCTTTTGAGTTACACTAGGATGAAGCCATGGTCCCTACAATGTTGGCCTCAGCTATGTAAAGTCCTGCCAATAGCTTGGGCAGGAGACCTAAATAAGCTCCTTATCCATGACCGACAGCAAGGATGTGAAGGCCTTCCTGAACGAACATTATAAAGTGGAGGCTATGCTTTCCCCTTAACATCAAAAGATAAAGATCTAGCTAGTTGGAACAAGAGAAAAAAATAAAGGCCTTTATTGTTCCCTAGGGACAGGTGTCCAAGGATGAAGAAATCTGGGTGTGCATGTACTGGTTATCTACATTACAATTTTCATACTCTAGTCTATACTATAAACCAGATGTGTGTGTGCATTAAGTCATTTCCGTCATGTCCAATTCTGTGTGACCCCGTGGACTGTAGGCTGCCAGGCTCTTCTGTCCATGGGATTCTCCAGGCAAGAATACTGGAGTGGGTTGCCACGACATCCTCCAGGGTATCTTCCCAATCCAGGGGTCAAACTCAAGTCTTTTATGTCTTATGCATTGGTAGGTGGGTTCTTTACCACTAGTACCACCTGGGAAGCCCATAGACCACATATCCATAGCCAAAGGAGACCTTGTAGATAGGCCCATCTTAAAAATTAAAAGTGGTGGTGTGCAGCTATCTTTGAATTTTCAGGTTAAGGAAGTTTCCTTCAGATCCCAGGAAAGACCAAGGATGAGATAACACTGATATGGTGAGACAGTGATATCTGAGATTAAGTATATGTAAAGGTAAAATGAAGCTAGATTATCAAGTGAATGAGAAAGGAACCCGAACTCACTTAACCTTGTATACACTCACCATTCAATCAATAGAAGAGTAATCAACTACATGCAAAAAAACCAGCATTTTCCATTTTTCTAGTTTAAAGATAAAATTAAATACGTATGAACTAGAAAAACTGATCATGTATTGTACCATATTATTTAAAACAATACTGTGATTACTGAAATGGTAGCTCAAGTTTTTGCTACCTCTTTGAAACAGAAGAGTGGAGAGGATGCAAAGAAACAGAAGTTTGTAACTCTGTTCTCAATGCAAGATTCCGTATTCACTTTTGCACGAGGTTAGGATCTAATTAAGCTCACCCACTTAATTAATTCTATCCTCCCATATAAGAACTCGTCAAATTTGAGTAGGGGCAGGAAATGGGTAGTATGAGCTTTTGGAAATTTCGATGGGCTAAACAGCATTCATTTAAGATTCTGTGATTGAGAGGATCACCCTGAAAACTTATAGAAAAAAAGCCATATAAAAATCAAACTAGGCAAAGTGGGTTTCTACAGCCTATTAGCAAGACTACCTGGAAAACTTGTGGAGTCAAATAAAAAAACTAACGTGTACTGCTTCTTTTCTTTCCTTATTCTATTCCATTCCATTTTATAAAAACTGTGGTAAATGCAGACAATGTACTCTCTCTCGCTGGTCATTTTTCAATAGCCCCAAATAAGCCCTTCAGTTGGGATGGCTGTGAATATGAAACACAAGGAAGATGAATTCAGTTTGGTGTGCCTTGCGGAGAGCAGGCAAGGCAAACTACAATGACTTTGGGCGGCTGTGAAGTTTTTATTATCCAATCATAAAAAGGACTCTTTCAAGTGCTTCCCTTTTAGCACTCTTCAATGACTGTTGTGCCAATCACGGAGTAAAGCTTTTTCTTAACAAGTCGGAATCCTGAGCTCAGGATCAGAGTTCGCCTGAGGCCAGAGGAGAAGCGACCTCGGCTAAAGAAAAAATCCCTGAAGCTCGTCCATGAGCAGGTCTCCTGCTTAAACACAAGAGTGAGCTCAAAGGTGGGCACCACGCTCGAATCACACACAATCCTATCCAGCTTTTTACATACATTTTCAATTTCCAAGTTCACGTGCATAACACAGCCCCGCAGACCGCAGGGCTCTGTGGAGGAAAGTCTCAGGACATCTTGAGCAATCCTCTGGGTCAGTTTCTCAGGAACAAGGACTCTGGAGCAGCCAAGTTTGGTGTGCTTAGATTTGGACAGACAATTCTCCAGCATTTTAACCAAACTCTGGCAAGTTGTCTCCTCAAATACCACCTCATTGAGGTTGGGCTCAGGAACAACATAATCCCAGTAGTCAAAATCTGTGGAAAATGGAAGTTTAAGATTAAAACAAACAAAAACAAACCCAGGAGCAGAAAAATACACCCAGATTTGGCAACACTGTTTATTTCTATCTATCAGATCTACTTGTTTTAATATTTGTTTGGAAGTCATCTGATCCCACTTTGCTGTTAACTTTCTGAGTAATAAAGCAAATCAATTGACCTGAGACTGAAAGTTCATCTATGAAATAAAGGTTTTGATAAATAGGGTAGGTAGGCTATAACCATTTTTCAATAAATTTATATGTGTATACACACACACAATCTTAAAGACTATGCAACCAAATCTATTCATGGCTATTTTAGAATACTAGTGACTTTCTTTTCTTTCTTGCTCCCTGATTTGCTTATGGGGGTTTTCAAGTTTTCTTTTATAGAGACTATGCATTAGGTTTGGACTAAAAATGTTAGTAATATTTTTGGACTAAGGATTGTTACCTTCTAACTCTTAAGAATTCATTCATTATTGTAAAACATTTTTTTTTTTTTGCTATTATTCTTTAGTGATGAACTTAAAATGACCTTGATGATGAGCTATATTAAACATCAATTAAGTTTGTGTTTTCTTTAAAAGTCTTTACTGGAATGACCTGTGGATCCCAATTTTAGCTACAACCTCTTTGATTAAAAATTGCCCACAGAGAAGACTTCTGAGGTTCGCAAGGATATTTATAACTGGCTGGGTGGTTTTTTTTGGAGCCAAGCAAAACAAATAGTCCTAGGAAAACAAAATTAGATTTGCTCAAAGGAAAAGAGATAGCTCTGCATTTGGTCACCTACCTTCCAAATTAATCCTACCCCTTGGCAGGATGCCATACCACACACACAGTCAACTGAGCAGGTCACAGGCAGATGCCCTGCGGGCTCCCTGCCTGAAGCCTACTGCACCTTTGTTGGCTACTTCATCACTTACAGGCTTAGATCACTGTGTGTGTGTGTGTGTGTGTGTGTGTTTGTTGGCTACTTCATCACTTACAGGCTTAGATCACTCTGTGTGTGTGTGTGTGTGTGTAATAAATAAAACAAATGCACTCCAAATTATAAGGCTCTTTTTTTTTTTTAATCTATGTTGAAGACAGAGAATTTTAGAGCTTTGGCCTATAAAATTAGATCATCAACCACTTCACCTTCTAAATGAGGAAGGCCCAATGATATTAAGCAATTGATTTATGTCCACACAGATCCTCAGTGGCAGCACAGCATGTTAATTTAGAAACTGTTGTTTAAAATTACAAAACACTATGTCCAGCATCACTGCAGTTTTAAAGCTTCCCTTTGGCATTAAAAAATGAAATAATGGAAAAAAAAATGAAATAATGGGTATATCCACAAATTAGAATACTACTCAGCAACAAAAAGGAACACCTACTGATAAATCAACAGCATGGAAAAGATCTCAAAATCATTAGGCTGTGGGAAAGAAACCAGATACAAAGAGTACATATTACCGGATCCATCTGCATGTAGTCCTAGAGGTAAAAGTAATCTATAGTGACAAAAATGAGATCAGTGTTCCCCTGGAGACAGGGGAGAGGGAGAGTGGGTAAGCAAATGGGTATGTGGGGCTTTGGGGGCAGAAGGTGATGGTACTGGTTACACAGGTGAATACATTTGTCAAAACACACATAACTGTATACTTAAAATTCACCATAATTTCACAATCATGTAGGGTAGGGACCTGTACGGTTTTTAATCCCAAGGAGTCTATCAGCCACAGACTAGATCAGGCAGCCCTTGGGATTTTATTTTTTGCTTCTTTTGATTCTCACTATCATAGACAGACGATGCTGTTTTAAAGCATTTCTTTAAGATGGATTTTACCGCATCTCTAAAATTCAAGGACAGGGTCGACACGGCATGCCTGCCAATCTTAATCCATCCAGGGAATGCGGCCTTTGGAGGGAAGAGAGGTAGGCGGTTGGGAAACTCACCATTTAGTAGGCTTCCCGGGTGGAAGCCATGGTCCAGCAACTCTGAAATGCTGGCCGGGTTCTTACTGCTCAAACTGCCAGTTGCAACCATGGTCGACGGCTCTGTTTCCCTCGCCGGGCGGAACGGCCTTTCCGGGGCGCTAGAAAAAGGAGGCAAGAAGGACAGATTTGCAAAAGCAAGCAGGACGTGCAGGAGCTCCTAAAATGCCCAGCGTCCCCGGAGCGAACAAGGCGAGGCATTCATTTTCCAAAGGGGTGGAATCGGCCTCTGCAACTCAGGTTCACAAAACCCCGGGAGCAAAGACGCCAACTAACAGCCACAATCTTCAACTAACTCAAAGTTGGGAAAACTCGGAACCGACGCGCCCCGCGGAGCTCACCCCTGAGCCCAGAGGAGCGGAGGCCCCCGCCCCGATTCCTCCCACCCAGGCAGCCCCCGGCCTCACTTGCTGGGGGTGCGCCGGGGCCGACGCGCTCGCTGGTCCAGCAGCGGGTAAACCGAGGCCGGCCCGGTCTTCAGGAACCCCCTCGCTCGGGGACTCAGCGACCTGCGGGCCCAAGCAGCCACCGGCACCTTGCTCACCCCCCGCCCCGCCGGTTCAGGTTCCACGGAGCAGCATCGCCGCGGGGGCGGCGAACACTTTATAGCCCAGCCTCCTCACCCGGCCCCGGCCCGCCCACCTGCACCGCCCCTCCCCGGGCCCGCGCCCCGCCTCCCCGGGGTCCGGTTGCATCTCCGCCCGCACACTTCCAGCCGCCCCAGGCGAGCCGCTGGGAGTTAAGGAAAAGTTTGCGGTAGGGTTGACACCTGTTGTTTCTTGGGTGGGCCACGGGTCACCACGAGTGCAATCCTGGGTGCACGACTCGCCCCAAACTGATCGCTCGCCTCCACCACCAACCTGGATTCTTTGGTGCGACCCCTCTCCCCAGCGTGTGCACACACACTCACGCTCCTGATGGCCTTGGTGAGGTTCTGTCCCGGGGAAGCGGGAAGCTTTCTGACCTTTGTCCATGACCGTGACCCGAGTCTTTGCTCTGACATGCCGAACACTGCTTAAATATGTTTAGCTGTTCAACGGGCATCAAGTATGCACTTCGTGCTGGCCTCTGACGGAGTTAATTCTACTCCGCGTCGCGTCCCAAGGCTTCTGTACCATCCTTTCCCGCACGCGGTCAGCTCTAGCTTGCCTTCCCGCATCCGAGGCTCCCCAGCCTGGGGTCTTATCTGCACCTTCCTCGCGTTTCATCTATGACTAATGCTTTTCCTCCGGGAGAAGGGTGAGCCTCTTACTCTTCTAATTAGACCTGGCTCCAGAGCTCCAGCAGCTTGAATGAAGGGGAGTTTGCCAAGAGACTAAACAAAACCTTTAGTTGGTAGCTTTATTCCTAGTTTTTTTTTTTTAAACAGAATCTCCAGAGTGGCTGTATCAATTTACATTCCATCCAACAATGCAAGAGGGTTTCCTTTTCTTTACACCCTCTCCGGGATTATTGTTTGTATATTTTTTTGATGGTGACCATTCAAACCAGTGTGAGGTGATACGTCATTGTAGTTTTGATTTGCATTTCTCTAATAATGAATGTTGTTGAGCACCTTTTCATGTGTTTATTAGCCATCTGTCTGTCTTCTTTGGAGAAATGTCTGTTTAGTTCTTCTGCCCTTCCTGCAATTAAAAAAAAAAAAATTAGTGGGATTTTTGCTGCTTCCACTATCAGGCTAGGTTTCTGGGAGCAGTTATGGTTCTCAGGGAGCGAAGTTCCTGGCCAGCCCCATTAGGGGAAGGAACTTGGGCATGGGCAGTCTTGAGGGGCTTGGGGGAATGAAGACACAGTGTTTTATATCCCTGTGAAGCTTGATGTCCTGTTTGAACCTGAGCAGGCAGTGGAACAGAGGAGCCGGGCAGGGCCAACATCCTGGCACATCCCATCAGCAAGAAGCTACCCGTTCTGTGTTCTTCCACAGTGCCTAAGCCTGCCCGTTCACTCTCTGGTGTTCCAGTAGGAGATGACCTGGTCAGAGCGAGCTTTCCCAAAGACAAGTGGGTCAGGAGAGGTGGGAGGTGGGTCAGGAGAGGAAAGGGAGGGGACGCTTCAGGGAGAAGACTTTCTACAAGTAGGAGGTGCTACCTTTGGCTCCCAGTCCTGTAACCTACAAGGATCTGTAGGTTAGGGCCTTGAGAAGCAGTTTCAGCTGTCCAGGTTAAAAGCTCTTCTGAAGTAAAACAACAGCAGAAGGGGTAAGGAAGGTATGACAAACAGATCAGTGGCAGGACACTGGGAGGCAGAGCAGCAGAAATTAAAGCCAGCTTGACAGTCCATTTTTAGCACAGCTGCCCGAAGGTCAGGGAGCCAAGGAAGGAGACGCTGATAGGCAGATTTCCACTTCTACTTCAGCAATAGAAAAGGGCCAAATAGACAAGCCCGTTTAAGCCAAGCACTTGCAGTGGCAAGTGTGGTCAGGACCAGTGGATGGTCAAGTCGGGTACAGCAGCTGCCTGGCAGCTGGGGGTTAGGGTCAGGACACCACCCTCCTTATCTGGGTGGCAGTGCTAATAAGGCTCACCTGCTTCTAAGGGGAGTAATTAGGATTGATATAAAAGGTGATGTGAACCTATACTAGTGAAGTAAAGAAACGACCCATTTCAGTTTCCTTAGGGTATTTAGGCAAAGGGCTTCTCAAGTGGCTCAGTGGTATAGAATCTGCCTGCCAAGCAAGAGACGCTGGTTAGAGATCCCTGGGTGGAGAAGATCCCCTGGAGGAGGAAATAGCAACTCACTCCAGTATTCTTGTCTGGAGAATTCCATGGACAGAGGAGCCTGCAGGGTTATAGTCCTTGGGTTTGCAAAGAATCAAGACGCTGAGTCACTGAGCACGCATGCATAAATTAAGTACTCCCAAAGGGTCAGAAAGATTATTGAACCTTATAGAAAGTAGCAGCTACTCTCAGCTCACCTGAGTAACTGAAATTTTGCCAAGTCCTTGGGGATTTTACCACAGAAAATAATTTACTTATGTATGAAAGATGAATAATGTAATTTTTTAGCTAAAAGGGCCTTGCTTTCAGAAATTATAGAACATAAGAAAGTACTGACATAGAACACAGTTCCTGGGATAATGAGTGGAGATTGTCTTTTAAAAATCTACTTAAAAAGGTAAAAAATCCATTCTGTCTCTGGTTTGCATGTTTTCAGGGTTAAATGAACAGAGCTGATTTTTCCAAAGGAACTGTAGAACAGAATTAGGAAAAACTATTAATAAATGCCACAATAGTCTTGCCACAAGATAACACACTTAGTGTGTTAGAGTTTTTACTGTTGTGAATACACTTAATTATTTACAACTGAAAGTTGATCACACTGGAGTACCTCAGGTGTTTACCAGATACAGTGATGAAATTTATTTCATTACTGTTTTGTTATATCCTTCCTAATTAATATTATAAAGATAGGGAGGGTGCTTACTGGAAATAACCATTGTACATGAAGAGAAAATCTAATTGATTAAATAGTTGATTAACTTTCATACACGAGTGTACTATAACAAGCTACCAAAATCATAAGCAAGGACTTTAACTTAAGCATGCTTGCTTTATGACTATAATTTACTCATCTGTCTTCCCACAAAAAAGAGAAATAGCAGTAATGAATGGCAACAGTATATTCATCTGATGCATACACTAATATTTAAGTTCCATGCTTCCTCATGTATAAATATAGTGTTTATAATATCACTGCTTACATAAAGTGCAAATTCAAACTACCAGTGATATTGTAAAAAACAAAGACAATATGATGTTTTAATGTGTTGTTATAGGAAATACTGGTGTCTTGTGCATTTGTGATTTAGAGTGTTGAATATTTATTACTTGTTTTGCCAGCCAGTTTTCTCTTTTTATCCAATATGTGCCATTGTTCCTGAGCTCTTATTAATACATTTACATTCAGTGCATTGCTCGTTTCATTTCATAAACCATGACACCAGAGGGGGAAACGACTGTGTTTCTTAATCTGTACAATGGATTCAGGGAGGATTTATAGAACATTGAAGTTGATCTGTGCAATATCCAAAGCCCCTTAGCAAACTCATAGGGTTGTTGTGAGGATTAAAAGAGAAACCCTTATAATCAATTCAAAATATTATCCCATTTTTAAGAAAACAAATCTGAGATCTTTGATTTCACTCTGTCTTTGGCCTTCCTTGGTTGTGCTAAGTTCTAACCCTCATGTGAGGTCTAAGTGTTCTTAGAGCCTGTTACACAGCAAGTACTGAATAAGTGATAGTTATTGTTGTTGCTTTTATTGTTATCTTGAAATTGTAGTTTTCTGGTTCAATGAAGTAAATGCTAGAAGGGCTACATGGGGTTAGAGAAATATTGCTAAACTATTAATAGAACACAATTTATGGTCTTTAATATTTTCAGGAAATCTAGAAAATATTTACCACTGATTAGGAAAACCTTTTTTATTAGAATATGTGCATAACTGTTTTGGGGAGCAGTGAAGGAGATCTCCCAATGATATGTAAGAAAATATTGTGGATAAAAAGTTACCATGATTAATGCTTGATAATCTATAAAATGGTTTCCTAGAAAAAAATAAGACATTTAGAAGCATTGACTGTAAACCATCCAGTTGTGTCAAGATAAGTATGACATTCTGGATAGATAGTTCATCATTATTTTTATTTGTCTTTGAGGATGTTCCACCCAATAAAATTTCCATTTCATCATTAAACATGCAATATGAGTTATTCTATGATATATTGAGAGATTTTCCATTAAATAACATGTAGCCTTATTAAGTATAAGGCGAAAAAAAAAAGATCCAAAATAAAATAATATAATATCTACTGCTGCTAAAAGCTGAGAGAATTTTCCAGTAGCAGAAGGCTTCGCTTCTCTAAATTCAAGCAGATAAATGGTTCCCATAGTGACTTATCTCTTAAAATAGTTGTATTTTTTTCTCCTTATAAACAATGGTATGTATTATCTCCTTTAAAATAAAGCAAGCTGATATGTTTAAATGCAGTCTCTACTTTTCCTTAATTATGCATAGGTTTCTAATTCAGGTGCCTACATAAGGGAATGTCAGCCAAGAATGTGGAGTAGGTCCTTGACATTTTTCTAGGGAAGCAACTTAAAACTTTGGCAAGCCCCAAATTTGAGAATACCAGAATGTCATACCATTTCTTTGGATTTCTTATAAATAAAGCTATGCATTCATGTAGGTGCTGGTCTTTCATTGTTCCCCCTCTCTTTGTCAGCCTAGTGTCCTATTCTGGTGGACAAGCTTTGCACAGCTTTTGTTATTCACATTTGTTTCCCAGAAAAGTTATAATTTGCTTTATGGCATAAATTTGGGGGATAGTATGAGAAGAGAATTAAATCCCAAGAATGCCCAGTGGACTAGATGGGGTTTCTGCAGAGTAGCCTTTGGAATATATCTGATCCCCATTCTGCAGATGTCAAGTATATTAAAATGAAAAAGCTTGATGAAGTCACAGAGAGGTTCCAGTTATTTATGTTTATGGTGCAGTAGTTAAACATGTGGACTGTGGAGCCTGACTGTTTAGGTGCATATCCCAGCAATGACACAGACTAGCCGCATAGACATCAGTAAGGTCTTTAACGTTTCTGTGGCTCCACTTC